GAAAAAATTTTCTTCTTTTTTTTTTTCTTTCATGATGAACCAAGAATGATTATAGGGTGTATATATTAGATCTAAAAGCATTGACATGGTACGACAGCCACCGTTCTGTTTCTGATGAATAGAAGAAGCAAAGAGTATAATATAGTACACGGTTACACACATGAGTATAACATGTACATGATAAATAAAGAAATGTCACAAGACAATTTTATTAATCGATTATTGAAGAAAAACTACAATTTGATGATTAAAATCGAAAAATCCAAGTAAAACTGCATTATTGCTGACAGTATGATAATTCGAATGAGAAAAAATGGCTGTAACTTTTAAGAAATCTAGGTAGGTTTGGAAAATGCTCTAGAATTAATTTTACATGCACTTCGAACAAAAAAAGATTTCTCATCATCTTATACTTGAATAGTCTCAAAACGTTTTTTTGAAGAATTCAAGCATACATTTTCTTTCTCCATTTGCTGCGCTCTATTCAATCATGTATAAATCAATCAGAGAAAAAAAATTACATGAAAACTTGGATTTTCTAACACCTTACATCAAAAATCATCACGTCGCCAACCATGAAAAATACGTTTAGAAAATGACTTTATCGGAATTGCTGGAGATTAAAAATATTGAACGGATTAAAGCGTAGCAGCTGTTACTAGTCTTGAAAAATGCTTTTTATTCTTTTTTAATACTCCTTTTGTCGCAAAATCAAGCACGTTGTAAGTGGATAGCACATAAACCATCTATGCACTATGAAAATTAGCCACTCTCGTGCTATAGAACGGCAAAATCTTCGAAAGTTCATAATTTTAATTGAATTAGAAGTGCATAGATATTTCTTTTTTCATTACACCTGGGATCTAGGAATTTCTGAGAGTTCATACTTAGTTTTGTGAGATACAAGTGCTAGTTTCTATCCTTTAACAGCCGCTACATTGTCTAATTTGACACATTCCGATAAACTAGCGACATACAATGCGTCGGCGACCTGATGAAAACTGTGTCGTCATGGAAAAAGCGATGTATGATCGGGGGTTTTATTCTTTCTATCTAAAAGTTTATAAATAGAAAAATGTGTATTTTTTCCATCACGATTGTTTTGTAACATTTCTTTATTTACCATGTACATGTTATACTCATGTATGTAACCGTGTACTATATTATACTCTTTGCTTCTTCTATTCATCAGAAACAGAATGGTGGCTGTCGTACCATGTCAATGCTTTTAGATCTAATATATACACCCTATAATCATTCTTGGTTCATCATGAATGAAAAAAAAAAGAAGAAAATTTTTTCTTTTCTTACATCAATGTATTTTTCACGCGTAAACTAGTGCTTGTTCCTTTATTGTATGAAAATTTTCTTTCTATATGTTATGTACCTTTACAAAGCAAAAATGAAACTTTTCTTCTTTTCTAAGCAACTGAAAAAAAAATGTCGTAAGCAATTACAAACAGTAAGACTGACGTTAAAACTGTCAACGCTTTTCTCACCAGTCGTAACTGTTCTCGTTTCACTACCTCCTATCTACCTTCTGCTCTAATGTTGTCGTTTTCAACAATCGAACGTTTGTAATACTTTGATCCTCTTCTATATTCGAAGTTTTATCTCAAAAATCTATGAAACTTATTTAGAGCTACATCGTTTGAAATTTTGAAAAACTGAGTAGTTTAAACGAATGAGAGAAAATATTTAGTCTGTGAAAATAAATTGAGAGGAATAAAAATGGAAATACGATGACGTAGAAACTTGGTCAGACCATATTGAGACTTCAGAGATTCTTGTGCACCCATCAGTGTGAGTTAGACATATGAAAAATATCGTGATCTACTAAACAAGTTCTCAGAATGGAAATTTCGCTGCCGGCTCTTATATCAGCGATGTTCATCACGTACTGGAGGTCGGACTTTTATTTCTTACTGAAAACTTGTTCGTTGAGCCTGCATAATTTTTTACACCTAACTTATCTGGCGTTTCATATTCGACTACGAATTATCAAGTTATACATAATAATTCGTTTTAGTTGTTCTTTTTGGTATTCCCACTAATATGAAAATTATTCCACTTAACGTTGGCGGTAAGTTTCTATTTTAATTTTGCAACTGGTTATTGTTTTTTTGTTTTAATATAGGTGCCTACTTAATTGAATGTGATCGATACAAAGATAATCGTGGTTTCTTTCAAGAATTATATCATGATAATAAATATCCAGATGGAATACAAAATTGTGCCCAAGTATCGTTTTCTGAATCCGGAAAAGTAATTAAATTTGTTTTTGATTTTTATGTAAAAAAATTTTCTCTTACACAAAAAATTTAAATGATGCTATTTCATTGTTTAGAATGTATTTCGTGGTATTCATTGTAGTCAATATAATAAAATTGTTATGTGTATGAGAGGAAGAATACTAGACATATGTATTGATTTAATCGAAACATCTCCAACATATCTTCAATATTGTACTGTTATATTAGATGAAAATAAATCACAACAAGTAAATATACCACCTGGATGTGGCCATGCATATTTCACTTTAGAAGACCATTCATATATTATTTATATTCAAGGAGGTACATTTAATGAAGTAGATGAAATGGATGTTAATTATAAAGATCCTAAAATTAATTTACAAATTCATGAATTACAACAGAATCAAATAATTATTTCAGATAAAGATAACAATGCACCAATGTTAGATGAAGCTAGGAAAAAATGGAATGAAAGACATTCTATTCTTCGAAATGTTGAAAAGAAATAAGTTTAAATGCATATTAGTAAGATTGATTAAAAAAAAACAACAACATATGATCATTGTCGTTTTTAACATTGTAATAGAAGTTAACACATTTTTAGCCTCTAACAAAATGGCAGAATGTGCTGCTAATCTTAGGATCTTTTCTCTCTTTATGTAGTCGAATGCTAAGTTTTGTCTACAAAAATTTACAAGAAAACAGATATTTTCGCAATAAAACTTATAAAATGCGAAGGTTAGCAATAGGATTATGAAGCTGGATGGTAGATTTATTGCTAGAAGAATGTAGATTATGACACAAAAACTTACAATATTCACTAGTAATGGATTCAAAATAAGCTCTTCGTTTTCCAGAATAACGTTTAGACAAAAAGAGATACAAACGTAAGATCACGATTACCACTAGTTGATAACGAACACCGAAATACGATTTTCTTTAGCAGAACTACTGTAATTTGAAAATCTACTGTAAAAGTAAAGTTTTAAGAGAAATTTTAAAAAACTGATCAGAAGTATTAATATAACGATGTATTTACGTGCGTAATTTATCCACAGTTTCCTCTTCAAATGTGGGTTGAGCGAAATTTAACTTCTGAGTGGTTCGAGCATGATATTTCTAGAGCATCAGGAGTGCGACTAGGTAACCACCGATTTCGGTTTTTCATCGGTTATCAGAAATCGATCATAAAACCGATAACCGAAATATTTTTTATTTGCACAGATTCTTGCAAATGCATTAGGGATGCACCGATTAATAATCGATGTTGGAGCATTTAGAAAAACCGTTCCGACTTGGTTATAGTAAATCTCTCAGAACTGCGGAATATCTCACTTTGTAGAGAAAAGTTGGCTTTACAAAAGTAAAGTGTTTTTGTTAATGTTATTTGTGACAGAAACTGAAATATTCAAAAACGTGCAAAATTGCAAAAAAAAAATTGAAGATCGATTATTTTTTTGTCACTTTCGTGCGTTTTGGATTAATCATATTTTTTCTATATATAATATTAAACCCTTTTTTACTTTACGTTTATAGAGTCAACTTTTCTCTACAAAGTAAGATATTCCGCAGTTCTGAGGGATTTACTATAACCAAGTCGGAACAGTTTTCCTAAATGCCACAACATCGATTATTAATCGATATATCCCTAGAATGCATGAAAACAGCTTAAGTGTAGTGCAATGCACATTCAAACGAGTCCAGATCGAGTTGTGTTTCCTAAAAATTATTTTATATTTTTATATTTCTGACGCTTAAATCTTCTTGTTTAGTCCATTAGTTGTTTATTGCTTAATAATGTAAGTATTTGCTGAGACAATATTATACAAACTTGCAATTAAATTATGCCTAACAGTATGCTGCCCGTCATTGGATAACAATTGAAAAGAATAGAAAAAGTAGAGTAAAACATTCATGACAATCTATTGTTTTTGTACACAAACTTTTTAAGACAAAATACCTCGGTCAACACTCTATTACCACTTTATTATTTTATTAAACTCTCCTCTGCTAATAAGTGTCTGAACGAGTGAAATGCGCCTAACTTACGATGAAAACGGTGTATAATTTCAAATATGGTTTTTCTAGAATTCTATGGTTATGTAAGATAAAACGTTATTCTTCATTAGATAAATACGAAAATTGACTTTTTCTCTCAAACTTGTCGATATCGAAAGTATTTTTTCGTATAAAGTTTTTATAACAAAAATAAAAAATCATGTCTAAAAACAATAAAATAAGTAAACAAAAATCATTTTAATTAGAATGTCGAAGTACCATCACCTGTCCAGAATGTTTTATTTTGACAACATTGGATGCAGGTAAATGAAATGGTTCACCATCCAATTGAGCCGTCATTGATGTGTTGATTTCAATTCGTACTTGATTGCATTGTGCAATGCGAATACCTGAACAGCCCACATGTATAAGTCCCATATGCGTTGCAGACAAACCTACGACTTCAAGCATTTTATCACCAAAATGTTGATCATTAAAGACTAAAGAAGATATTGATGTTGTAGTGTCTGGTGATTTGGTCGAGTTCTTATTCAATGTTACTAATTCATACGATTCTTCCGCTATTGGTAAACTGATAGATGTGGTAGGGACATGATTCGACGAAGCAAAATCTCGAGAAGTTGAAGAATTAGAAGACGATTTACCCCAGGGATTTGTACCGGATGCATAGCCGGGAATGTTTAGTACGATGAGTGTATGACAATTGCGTACAGAATTTGTGTAGTTTTGATCATCACATATGAGTGTGAGATATGCACTTAGATTCCATCGGTTTGATTTTGTAAAATCTCCCATATATTTTCGACTTTCATTTAAATACATAAATTTATTTTTAAATGGACTCGAAAATTTTTCTGGGTCTCTAGTTCGTTTATCATGAAATTCAAGTGCAATAGCTGCATCCAATCCAAAACTCATATAATTAATAAAATATGAATTAGGTAATGTTCGATGATTTAAATACGATGGTCGATTTGATTCACGTATGAATTTTGGCGTATTATGATTGAGAAGAAAATCTTGTTGATATTTAGAATTACGTAAATCAACTTTATTTCGATGTTTATGATCGGTGCTAGTAATACTAATTGGTAATGATGATGATGATGATAATATTTGTGAAAGCGGTTCAACAACGACATGCCAACGATCTAATGGAATTGGATGTGATTTTGGAATTTTTAATAATGTCGATAACAAACGTTTACTGTCATATATATCGCCCCAACCTAATACGCGAGATAAATCATTTCCTGTACCAAGAGGACCGATTGCCACAGGTGGATTATTCAGTTCATGATAAAAATCTGCTAATTTTTCTACAACCCATCCAACACTTCCATCCCCACCAAAAATACAAATTCGAGTATTTGATAATTCAAAATAAATTTCTAAAGCATTTAAAATTGTTTGATTATTATCTAATAAAAATATTTGTCTTGGATTAAGAATTTTTAATAATTTTTTATATATTTTCTCTCCTATTTGTCCGCCACTACGTTTATTAATGAATACAATTAACGGTGAATCCATATTTAATGTTTTATCATCATTAACGGCTCTAAATCGATCGGGATATTTTCGTATGCATTGTGGACGAACAATAATATTTCTATATAAAAAAGATAAGAACAGAAAACTGATATTCTCAAAAAAAGAGAGAAGAGTAACTGAAAAAAAATGAGATTAATTTGTGTGCGTGTGTGTATGTTTTTACCGTAGTGTTCCATAATCGCATTCTGTTTTTAATAATTCATCTAATTTTTCAAAACATTTTGTGTGATAAGTCCTGGAACACCATACACAATGAATTCCACAGACAGCAGATCTTTTTGTTGTTGTTGTCAAATTTTCTAATGCACTTAAATCAATTGCAGATGTTGTAGGTCGTGTAAACAGTGAATTTGTTTTTATCTTACAAAAATTACATGGGTTTGTTAAGACGTTCACATTTCTCCAGAAATGTTTATCGAAATGAGACGCATCTGTTGTATTATCGCTAAACGTTAAACGACACAATGGAATTTGTATTGAAGAAGAAAATGATAAGTGATGAGAATGAATGATAAATGAACACGATTCACATTGTAATAAAATATTGTCATTAGTCGCTGTAGTGTTACGATTTGTCTTAACTAACAATGTTTTATTAACGCAACTAGAATATTGACAAAAATAAAGATTTGAATTGTCTTTTGGACATGGATACCAACAATGAGAGTTCGGATGAGCAGTAGAACTCCAGTCAACGCCATACGTGGTATGATCTTTTGAATAAGTATACGATTTTTGATTATTATCCACAACAGAATTTATTGATTGATTTTCGTTGAATAATGATTTACAAGTATCAGTACTAGAAAAGCAAAAATACATAGTAATTGAGAAGTGAAAGAATACAAGATCTAGTAATCTGAAAGCGATAGGATAAACAAAATTACCGGACATAAGTAAGAAAACAGATTGTTCTTTATATCTGGAATTTTCGATATTAACTGCCGATGAGTGAAAAATCCTTTTTTCGATAAAAACTGTTTTTCTTATTCTGTCACCACCGTAGAAAAGGGCTGAATATTTTTTCGAAAACATAATTCGACACAGATTAAAAAACTAGCTTAGTGAGAGTTTGGCGAGTTTCAATCGTGTAAAATATAGTAGGACATGCGTGGGAGTATCCATGTGAGAAATGTTTGAACAATTTGATACATTAAGATAGTCTTTTTGCCAGTTTGTCATATTTGTCCTTTTTAATTAATTATTTTTAAATAGGGTATCTACGGATAATTAGTATGGTATTTCCATCTGTACAACAAGTTCAATTGTTTTAAAAAATTGTAAAAAATAAAATAACGTGTTTAAATTGTATTGTCGATTCTTGAAATTTAGATTTGGTCGATCAAATCTTTAACAAAACAAACGTGTCGACCTCTTTTATTAGGTCTTCTTCAGTGAAAGTAATAAAATATATATAAAAATAGTTAAAATTCTGTTACAATCTCACTGCCCACTACAGCATTAAAATTTTAGTATGACTGCTTAGACATTTTCTTTATTGTTACTCGTCTGTTAACAACGAGTAACAATAAAGAAAATGTCTAAGCAGTTATACTAAACTTTTAATGCTGTAGTGGGCAGTGAGATTGTAACAGAATTTTAACTATTTTTATATATATTTTATTACTTTCACTGAAGAAGACCTAATAAAAGAGGTCGAAACGTTTGTTTTGTTAAGATTTTTAAATAGTTTTAAATATGTTTAAATAAAAATACGAAATTAATGTATCGACCTGTAACTCAAATAATTGTCGATGTGGTTTCTCCATCTTTAAAAATAACATCAATTGGACAATCTTTTTTATTTTGTGATACACCAGGAAATGATAAAATTTTAGGTTTCACTTCTCCACATGAAATTCGATTTTTAAGTCAAAGTTCAGCTGATAATTATTTAATACATGGTAATATTTCACCATGTAATATGGGAATAATTCTCCAGATAGTCAATAGAGATCCATCATATACCTAATTCCATTTCATTCACTAGTGAGTAACAGACCTCAGTGCACTATACTCTTGCACAATTGCACATTTCAAAGTTGTATCTCAGTTTTTCAGTATTTTCGCAGACTTATTGGTTTCTCAATTGAGATACTTGATTAAAATATGGATTGTATCTCAGTTGAGTCCAAACCCTAATGACTGATCAATCTACTTTACCAAAAGGTGTTAAAATGTTCAACTCAATGAAATCAGTGAATAATTATATTTATATTGGACTTATACAGGGTATCTACCCTAAGACTAAAATAAAATTCAAAATATGCAGCTGTACAGATGCTGTTAAATGCATTAGAGTCATTGTACAATTTTAAGTGCTTACTTTTTTCCATTTACCATCTCTTGATATGTTGATTCATCTGAATGCGCTATTCGATCATCCCCATTGCTACTGATGTTTTCTAAAATACAATCACACGAATGGAATATACTTTTTTGATCTATTAATTTCTTTACTGTTTACATGAAGGTTTGCCACAAACATCGCGACATAACTCATTTGAAAGAGCATTGAATTCTGAATAAGAATATGTGGTTTAAAAAGTTTAGAAACCCCAGCATAGGGACGGGAGATGGTCCGACATTTGGCGGTTTTTAAGGGTTTCAAGGGCTGGTTCACACTCAACCTTCTCAAAAATCACTAAAGCAATTAACCGGAACGGTTTACTCTCTGAAAAAACGGTACATTTGCCGAAGTTTTTTCGGCTGGAAAAATAAAAAGGTATATAGGTGGTGATAAATGTTTAAACCTTCTTGAAGGTGTCGTAGTGAGTAAGGAACCCTAAAAAGGCTTCGTTCTTGAAAGAAGATTTTGTACTGAGTTACGGAATCATGCATGGTATTGCATAAACTCTGAAATCATTCAGTAAAAAATCTCAAGTATTTTGTATAAAACCTTTCCAAGCGTGCCAAACTCAAAAACCTTTTCGAAGGTTTCGTAGTATAAAAAGGTTTAAGCATTTGTCGCCATCTATATACATTTTTACTTTTCCAGCAGAAAAAAGTTCGGTAAAGTATCTTTTCTTTTTAGAGAGTAGGATATAGATTAGAGACAACAAGGAATAAAATGGCTCGCTTAAACAAATTCTGCATTGCTCTACTGTACTTGTTCTAAGATAGTGAAAATCATGAAAATTCGTCAGGTTGAAATGCGTTTTTCACCATCAAATCGAACTCTAAACTCAAAAATAATCCATGTATCAGATTCCTCGTCATTATGTTCTATCGAGAAGTGTAGTTTTTAACTGTCCACATCCCTGTGGTATGTCTGCTGAGAGCCATCTTTTACAAGCATTACTTATTTGATTTTTGATAGTCTCCCAATTTTTAAAAGCCGTCCCGACTATGATATTCGGAATTAGCATCATCGATTACCTATAATCACACAACTTCCAGCGAAGAAGCGATTTTCAAGTTGGGAACCTTCCCTCGTAAGTCCAAAAACATTGTATAGACTGTTGAAGAGATAACTCGTGTACTACTAACAACAAAATATAAGGTCCCTAAATGTTTTTCAATAGCATTTTACAAAAGCATGATAAACACTGCGATTTTTGCTCTTTTACAGAAGACACATTGGAGCATCGGCTGGGTTAAAAGTCCAAATTCCTACCGGACGTGGTGTACCTTCTCACTCTTTAAAAGATATGTTTGTCATCCTTTTCGACACCAGACATTTTATACCTATGTATGTTTATGTCTAAAATTGCAAGGGGGAAAAGCACACTCCGTGGAGTGAAGCACAGTTCACCGCCCCTAGGCGTCGATTCTTATATAAGCATCAGTTAAGAATCTTATAAGAAACTTATAAGTACCCAATAAGATTCACGTAAGAATCTTACCTGATTCTTATCAAATTCTTATATAAGATTACGCAGGAA